AAACAAGGCAGATGTCTTCGATGCATTAAGAATGTGTTGTGGCCATGAAACACTGGTGGAATCAAGGGTTTACAAATGTTACAAATACATTAAAAAGTATAGAGGCTTAAGAGGCTTAAGTGAAGATGTTAACCGAATTAAAGATCTTGCATTTAGAGATCGTTAATTAATTATAAGAGACCTCATAGGTACTGTTAGGCTATCAGCTTCAGTTGCTTATATGAGTCTATTCCTAAGGAACATCCAGTTTTATGGGAAGAGAACTTATCTACCTCCTTATCATTTGCATCAAGATAATGTACCTTTTCTTTCGCTAGCAAAATTCAAACTCACGGCCTGCCATTGTACTCGTTTAAAATTGCTGTGATTGGGTGGTTTAGCTTTGCTCGATTGAAAGAACTTCCATTTTTAGTTAATAGAAGGTTATCAAGGAGGATTTTTTGAATGCTATACCGAAAAATCAAGTTCGTCAACTGATCAAATCGTTCGCATAATTTTATTTAAACGAATGCGATTACTTTAGACGAGAGAGCATAAACTTGTAGATCAATTATTTAATGCTTGATTTCATTTGAAAATTTCCCTAATTTTTTGAACATAACGTTATTCAACAGATAAAAGAGAAAAAGATATTAATCGAGAACAGTTGGAGTTAACTTTCTTCTCCGCCAATATATATATGGATTGCACGCAAGCGTAGGCGATGAACAATATTTCATAACAAATACTTGATAACAATGAATTCTATGTCACCTACAAAGGAATTAATTATGCGCTAAAGAATATTGAACTTCTGCTTGCATCGAAAGAGTGTTTATTAATAGCAATTAATTAATATATTATTAAGAAATAAAGATGTAAATTAAGAATAAAGCAGCAGCACAAGATGTGCTGATAATTGAAGTATTTTTATAATGAGAGATGGCGATAAGGCTAGATATGTACATTCACAGAGTATGAAGACAAATTTATTTGCCTTTCTATCCGTTGTAATCTTTGAGAAATTTAATGCAATTTTTTTTTTTTTTTGCATTTTAAAATCAAGGCGCTTAAGCTTTGCGCGCCAGCTGTGTCCTTTGACCAATTGGGCAAGTTTTCGAGATATTAATCCAAAAGCATGCAATGCTTTCTTCAAAGAGAGAGACAAAGAATCTTTATTACATATCCATACAGACCCAGAGAGAGAGAGCATCTTCATTACACATCCACACAGATGAGCGCAAAGACCATAACTAGGTAGATTCAGAAATTTATCGAGATGAAGATTGCATATATTCTGTAGGAGCCATGCCATGCATTGCCTTCGAAATGTTGCAAACGTTTCAATCAAATGAATGTACGCTTATCCTTCGTCGATGTGTATAAAAATATATATACGCTAGTGTTTCTTTGATTTATATCACATATTTACGATAATCGTTATCTACAAAAACTTGAACACATCTACGTTCAATTCAAAATGTGCCGAAAACATAGGTACTTTAAATTATTTTTCCGAAACACATTTTCGGTCGTCTATTACAAAGTGAAGTGGAATTAGAGAAATAAAAACACTACAGTTGGATTTGACACACCATCAAAGACCCTACGCCACTTCGCTTAACACAGTTATTAACACAAAACGAGGACTTGTATGAGAAGTGGTCGAAAAGGTGGTCCAATTCCAATCCATTTCAATAGCAAACGTCCTCAGGGCCAAAACATGTTGCTATGGAAATTTTCCTCAAAATATTTCTAAAGTTTGCGACCTGCTGGTTGAAAAGAAAAAAACAATACAAACAGATTGACACACGGATGGGCAAGCTGAGATCGTTTTGGAAAGTGTTTCCGACTCGGTCGGAAAAATAAGAAAGGATGGACTTATATCAAGTGCTTGTGGGTATTGCATGCATCCGCACTAACTAAACCAAAACTTGTACCAAAAGTGGTATAAGGTATAAAAAGCTATAGTTGCCTATATTTGGTCACTTTGCGAGCTTTGCAGTTATCAGGCGATAAGCGTACTAGATTTTAAATTATAAGATGTAGAACTCCTTTGTATAAGTTGCCCTCTTTCGGTTCTTATCGGCGCATTTGCTGGGAATTAGTCTCTTCTCAACTATGATATATGCATAAGTTTAATATTGTATCTTATTTCTAATGGCAATTGTTAATTTATTTTTATTATTTTATATTATTTATTTAATGAAACCCGTCCACAAATCCATTATCAGCTGAATAATAAAGATATTAAAATAAAAGTTTAAATAAAACTTAAAATTAAAATTTAAAATAGAAGTTATCAAAGCTAAATTAAAGATATAATTGAAATCTGTCTACCAAAGGTAAATAAATAAGTGAGTAAAGAAGAGAGGAAAAGGGAATGGAAAAAAGAATGGAAATTGAAACCAGGTGCAGATGGCCTTATCTCGAAGTAAATATAGGAAAAAATTCTGGAAACCATTCACTTAAGTGAATAAAGTGTAGATCGCCTTAAATTTTTAGTACAAAGAACATGGAATACAAATGGGCTGAGCGCCTACACTAATCAATTTGGAATAATTAAGAAAAGAAAAGTGCTAAGTCTAGAGGGGACGGGAAGAGCAGAACACCGCTTAGAGTCGACTGAGAAACGCATGGTAGAGAAGACTCGCGACTACAAAATTACACTACAAGTTCGATATGTCACGCCTCTAAAAATTGTATAAAACTATTCAGGAGATGTACAAGGGGATATGAATGCATATTTTTGATACATTTATATAATAAAGAATATATATTACATTTCAACCAAACCATTTGTTTGAATATATATGGAAAGAGAATATTCTTTTTTTTTTTTGAAAATAGGATAAAATCGAAATGTTAGCTTGGTCGTAACTATAGTGAGTCATGGGCAGCTTAGGGATTTACGGTACTTATCCACTACGCTGCAGCCACTTAACTATCTCTTTGTCTACCCAGGAAACATCTCCTGAGTGATTGGTCCATATTAAAAAAAAAAAAAAAAAAAAAAAATTTAATTAGTAAAATACATTTTCTAAGATTCTCTCACGCGAGAATCCTCACAAGAGAAGTTCACAATTTATTTTAATTGCAATAAAGACAAGCTAAACCATTAGAGTCTTGCAAGGATGACTGTTACATCTGTTACAACTTGTTAACTAATAAAATTTAAATCGTGAGGCAAAACAAGTCAAATCGTTTCCCATATAAAGGCTAACTTTGCTTAAGGGCTTTAAAATGCGAGGTGTCCGGAATATGTATCTTTGCGTGGCAGACTAAGCAGGATAAATTTGCATACAAAATTGCTCATCTCACATAGTTTTCATTATAAAAGATTAAAAAAATTCTCTTTTCTTATATTTATAAATATATAAAAAAAACCGTAAGTTAATTTATTGCAAGCAGATTGAAAAACTGACCACACCATGTCTGTAATCCTGTTTGTTATACCAAGTTATTAAAAGCCAATGATTTTTGTAGAGAGTTTTAAAAAATAGTGCATTGTTTAAATTGTTTCAAAATAACTCGCTATATATGTGGGTCGTCGTCGCAAAACAGCTTCAATCCAATTAATTTTTTAAGGTGATTCGGGTTCGATTGAAATACATTCCTAACCATTTGCTGAATCATTTCTGGATCGATTGATATAATGAGCTGCGCGTCTATCTCAAGTCTATGTTGGTGGTTCTATCAAGTTGAAAGACTTAATATACTCCATAAGATGTGTAGAGTGTATGCTTTTTTATATTTGTTCAACAAAAAACTCAGAATCGAGCAAACTGAACGCTTTCTGTGAGCTTTCGAATAAAATTTATATATCTTGATTTTAACACAAAAATGTTAGCATATTTTTAGGCTAATTTTTAAAGTAACAAAATCAAGACTTTATGATCAGGGATATTAATGGTCTGTGAATTTATAGTCGGGGATATTTATGTTATGGGAATATATACTCGGGGATATTCATGGTCCGGGAATCTATATAACAAAAAATGCGCTGCAATCATAGTAGGCGTGCCAAAAAGTTAAATGGGACCCCATTGTTTAGAGCACAGTCAATCGCAGAATTTAAAAAAATGTTCGAATCATGAGATATATTTTTTTTGAAATGTCATAATTTCTCCATTGCTTGCAAATAAAAAGCTTTTTTAATTTTATGCATCAAAAGTAGAACAATTTGTTTACTTTATATTTTTATCGACTGAAAACACATTTATGCTGAATGTAATTCTTATTAACCAATAATATCTCTACTCTATATATATCTCTAATATCCCTAATTTAAACAGATTTATAAAATTCTATAGATTTTCCAGCAGCAGTCTAACATATATTGAAGTTTTGTTGCTTCAATCTTCAATAGCCATGAAGCTATAATATTTATATCTGTGCATTGTATATTTGGCGAAGAAAGTGAAACGTGAAATTTGCAATTGGCGGGGGAGGAAAGTTAAATTTTAAAAATGGTTCGTGCGAACATTCTAAACATTAACATGTCAGTGCGAGTTGCGGCTACCGTCAGATGTGTTATTAAAGCGTATGTGTTGTTGATGTATGCCGCGTTCTAAATCGGTCTGTCCGTTCATTCGTTATCTGCTTTAAGAGCTTGACCTAGGCCGTAAACAAAAGCGTAGAAAGGCCTCATAAGTGCCCTTCAGTTAATAGCCGTTTACCAAATTCAAATGTAGATGCATTTCACAGTCAAGAAAACTGACAGAACGTGAAGGGAACAAAAGAAAGACTTGTGAATAAAACTATAAAGTACCTACGGGCCAAGGGAAACGTTTATAACGAATTTGCTACAAATATTTACAACAAAATTGCTTCGATTTCTGCATTAATTGATTAGAAAATAAATTTGTATAGCGGCCGCATCCGACCTAAGATGAAAATAATTTTATTGTTCAGGCATATTTTTCATTAACGTGAGATAGGAAATCATTTTATCTACAACCATATTTTTGCCACTCAGTTACTCTATGTTTTGCTTAATTTGTTTAACTAGATGATGGGAAAAAAGTAACCCTGCAGGAAAAAACCCCAATCTAAAAGTGAAAGGAACAACGCATCGCTTAACCTTGATTTTGTTATTCAACTAGTGTTTGGAGAAGTAACATAAGCTGAGAGCTGAGAGATAAGGGACAGTTTTTAGTGCCAACACAATGAACTGCTGCGGTAGTACTATTACAAACTGTAGAACAGTTTGTCTGTTTTTTACTTTTTTTTTGCTTTTTTCTGCGAAACTTCATTACATTAGATCTTAAGGGAAGAAATCGAAATATTTTTCTCAATATATCAGATGACGATGACAGTCCACAGAGAATGAATATTTTAGCTCAGCTAATTGTATGATAATATGCTAAAAATAATTGATAAGCGTATCATTTGCATTCAATGCACTTTGTTATACCGCAGCAGCATCGCATATTTCTTTTAATCAGTCGTCAATCGATTCGATTGTACTTTTGGTTTCGTTTTTGTACATTTATTATATATATATATAATAGAACTTATAATTAATTCAAAGTTACGTATATAAATAACAGCTAATTGGCTTCGAAAAGAAATCTATAAAAATTACATATACACATAAACTTAGGCAATTAAACAATGATAATGTAACTGATTCGGTGTCAACAGTGTTATGGCTTTACATGACTAGGAAATATTCATAAGTTAAACTATTTCGAACTTTTAATGCTGTGACTCTGCACAGTTACCATCACGCCCCTTCGCGACACGTGTACTTTCCATATCATTCCAAGATTGTACTGTTGTCTTACCAAATACCACAAACAATAAATTTCCAATGAAATAAAAACCGGCAGCAATAAAAAAAATGAAACGCCATTGTGCAGAATTTTTCTGAAAAATGTAAAAAATAATTTGAAATAAAATTAATTTTTGTTTTTTTTGTTTTTGTTTTTGTTTAAAAAAATCTTTTACTTACCTCATCGGTTACAATGAATCCTACAATTAAAGGAGCAATAATACTCATGATATTCGCCGCACAATTTGTTATGCCCATTAGAACGCCAGCGAAATTTGGTGACAAATCAATATGATTCACTTGAAAACCAAGATAAGTGGACGCATTTATGCCGACCGTAATGGTTAATAAGACTATCGCCAAATTTATTCGATCAGCTCCCACGTAACCCAAAGCAATTAATGTTATCATAGGTATCCAATGACCGATTGAGTTAAAGAGTTTACGACTCACTGATAATGGTATGCATTGATGTCGGCTAAGGGTCGATTGAAGAGTGGAGAAGACGAAGCACATCAGAAACATGGCCGTATAAGGCAAAGCTGATAACAAAGCATTACTTTTGATATCCATGCCCAAGATGTTTTTCATATACGTTGGAATCTCTGTTAATAGAGTCCAAAAGCCCCAATTGTGAGTGCAATGAACCAAAGTTAACACTAAGAAAGGTACTGATGTTAAAATTCTGCACCAAGGAGTTTTCATCGGTGTAGTGTTCTCTTCAGGTTTGCTCGCGAAGCCCAATGAGGTTTCTATAAGTTTCTTTTCTTCTGGGGAGATTCTTTTATATTCAGCCGGTGAACTAGCTCCCCATGCAAACCAAGCGAATGTCCATACCATGCCTACGCCACCGGATATGTAAAATATACCTGGCCAACCCATAGACGATGAGGCTACCACGCCACTTGTGGCCAGCATAACTACGGTACCGAATTGAGCGCCCGAATAGCTGTAAGTACCTAATGTACCTCTTTCCTCCACCGGAGCCCATTTCGATAGTATGGTATGAGTCGAAGGAAATAAAAATCCTTGACTCAAGCCCTGTATCACTCGTAAGCCACATACCAGCTTCCAGTCGCCCAATTTAGCACAAATTGGCGTTAATATCGTTAACACGGAACACACTCCTATGCCTAGCAATAGCATAATTTTACCACCAAATTTGTGGGCCAAGGAACCGGCAGGAACTTGGGTAACAACATAACCCCAAAAAAAACTGCTTAATACCAAAGATTTCGTTTTCTCAGTCCATTTGTATTCCTGAAAAGAAAGAGGATACATAAATAATACAATGAAAGAAATTATCGAAAGAATACTTACATCGAAGTTGGGATTTGAATCATTTCGATCAGTCATGGCCACAATAGCCACAGAAAGGTTCACCCGCAGCGCGTAGGCCACTGAAAGCCCACAAAATACCAAAAGGCATTGCAAATGTCGTACACCAAAAATCGGACCTGCAAATAGATCAGATTTATTACAGGGGGGCAAAGAAATTTTTGTTTCTTTTTTGTCATTTCGGATTATGGATACGGATAAGAAATCTTTATATTTAGTCCCCTTATTAAGATGATTCAATTTTCAAGGCTTTCCCGGTGCAAAAAGATATAGAATAAATTTACGTCCAAGTGCAATTTGAGCAGATTGGAATCTTCAGCAAATGCCAGGCGTTTAAATAGGGAAATTTTCCCATCAAATAATCAGTGAGCGGTCTGGACATAGGTGAAAATATATGAATCATTTTCTTTGAAAGTGGTGTAAGTCTATATTATATTATATGGAGATATTTAGAAGTACGCGTTTGAACGGTTTGAAAAGTATTGATCAAACATCACTCAATAAGTTCGTAGGATGACATATCGTCACAGGTAACGGATCCATATCACTTTCATGCTTCCAAAGGAAACGTCGCTAAGCTTCATGACGTTCGGTTGAAGATTTTACCAACCTGTCTAAAAATCATATGGATTCGTGAATAATTATCCTGCGCCCGTTTCTCATCTTTTGAGTTATATGTGTGTTATATGTAACTGTGTTATATGTAAGACACTCATTTTATATTATTTTAAATAATTAAATTGGTATTCGTTTAAGTATTAACTTAAAGAAATTTGACTGATAACATATATAAATATTATGTCTTTGCAGAAAGTGGACCTACAACACTTTCATAATATATAATAAGTGCATTTGTAATTTCACTAACTACATAAATTTATATTGATGAAATGATAAAAATTTTGAAGCATTTGCTTTTGGAAAAACGCGAGGTAATTAGGTATGAAAAATTTAACATTCGGTGTTGTATTCAGATGTTTGGCAAAAACGATTGAATATAAAAACGAAAAGTAACTTTCAGTTACGTAATTAACCTCCTGTTTGTAGGCAAAAGAAAAACCCATAGCAGACTGAATTAATTGTTACCATTAGGTTGGGGAGCGGAACTAAGAGATACCTATCGAAAACCTAACGTTGGTTGTTGGTTTTTATGGCTAAAGCTGTATAGCGTGGCGTAAGTTCTTTAACAAACGATGAGACATGAAGCTAATGGATGTCCATGGGGTTTAGGTTGACCAAACGTAGGATTGCCGCTGGCACGAAGATGCACTACCCAACTGTTGTTTACGGCCTATCGGGGAGAATCGTGGTGGCTGTGGTTACCCCCGAGGAGTAGAGGTAGAGCTCGGCGCGTAACAATAAGCGAGAAAGTGGCTCTTCTTTAATTCGGTATCTCAGGAGTAAGACACTCTTTAATGGGCTATCCGTTGTCGAGATAACTTGTGTGCCGTCGGGTGCTGTGGGGTTAGGCCTTCAAGGTAGAAATCCACATAAAACCATATCAGGAATCTGGTATTATTAACTAATTTTTTGTCAAAAATTCACTTATATTACTTACAAAGAAAACGAAGGGCGAGATGCAGTTAAATCTACTCACAATCTCAGGCAAAATCAAAAATTTTATCAAAAATGTACACATATATCCTGTCAAGAAAGTATCGGGAGTTGTCAGTTCAATGATGTAGTTGACTATTTACATATTAATATTGCTAAAGTTAATAAGATTTTAAAATTTTACAGCGGTAAACTAGTTTCCAGAGAGCTTTGCGAAACATCGACTTTACAGCTCGAATTCTACAGGAACAATTTTTGATTGCGAAAATGTTTCCAGTTTTCATATCTTCTTTTCGTACAAGGTTATATTACGTTTCTAGGGGTGTATGTAAGACCCAGAAGAACTTGAGATACAGGCACCTTTTACTGTCTGCTTTTCTTGAAGCTTGTTCATCTTGTTTTCTTGCGTTGAACCTGTGAGTCATAATTTTTGGGATACTTTGATGAAGTTTGGTGCACTGACGCCCGCTTTCCGGGCCAAAGACAAGCGCTATTGAAAATGGTTCGTATTGGACTACGTCTTCAATCACTTTTCATATCAGGCCTTATTTTGAATGGTCGTTATATGAATAAATAAGTAGGGTGTTTTAGGTTACTTAATAATCATTTTGGCCCACTGTAGCATATTTAATAGTTTTATTTTATTCTACTTTTTAATAAATCTCTGTAGTTTTTTGATAGAATGTAATGTTGATTGTTTGTCTTTGCTTTTCAAATCCTCGCACTTTTTACACAAATTATAATTTCTTTCGTGTGTTCGATGCGCTGCATCAAATTATTAAAGAACAATGATGGTTTCCGAAGTCACAGGACGCAGTTTTAGGTTTTATTCGTTTTTTTTTTTTTTTTTTTTTTTTTTTTTGTTAGAAAATCGTTCCGATTCTTTCATTCGCTCTATTTCAAGTTTTGTGATGAGTTAGTTCTCTTTCATTTTACTGATCAATCATTACACGAATCGTTGCTTTTTTCTCAACCGGAAAAAGGAAAAAATCAAATCAAGATTCATGTCTACAATCCTTGCATGTCGAATGACTCGCAACTTTAACATCATCTATGGTTCATTTAAAAATAGTGAAAACAAAACACCACACGTGCCTTTCAAATCAATTGATTGGACTTAAAAAAAAAATAAAAAAAAGAAAAGAAAAGAAATTACGAGCTTGCTTACTTTTCTTTACGTTCGCCTATATTGTGGAAGTCTCTTAGAGCAAAAATTGAAATTTATTTTAGAAACTAATTGAAATTAATTGAAGAAAAGAAAAGCAAAGAAACAAATAAAGATCACAAATACACTTATCATCAATATCAATAAAAACGAAAGCAACTGCGAAGAAATTATGAAATATTATATTATTGCTTAGAAAAAGTATTAGAAAGTTTGAAAATAAAAATATATAAACATTTAAGAGAAGATAAATCAAATCGTGGTAAAGATTTGGATATCGTAAGTCACTCTCTTAATAATTCCTTTCACGGCACATGCGTACGTTGCGTACGTCTTTTAGTTTTTCTTTAGGATGGTTTTCTCTCTCTTGGCTGACTCTCACCTTCAGATTCCAAGCGGCGATTTTTTACCATTTTTTTTTTTTATTTATTTTTTTTAAATTAATTTAATTAATTAATATTAAATAATTTAGAAATGAAGTGAAGACTCTGTCAATTTACGCGAATCGTTGTAAGGAAGGTTTAATAACAACTGATCATCATTTCCTTGATTTTTCACTAAATTTTTGTGATAATACAAAAATTTCGTATGCTTACCGTAAAAACAAAAAGAAACGCAAAAAAAAAAGGAGAAGCTCAAGTGGTAAAAAAACAATCAATACACTGTTCGCATTATTGTGTACACACAAGTGTTCATGTAATTAAACATGTACTTGTAATGTGAATATATTCCAATACATAATAATTATTACAGGCTTTAAATAATATTATCATAAGAGCGATGCTTAAGTGAAGCAAACATTTATATTAAATAAATAATAAATACAAATATATCATAAGCTGATAATAAGAAAATAATTGTAATCATCTAAGGTCTTAGATAAACAAAAGATATCCATAATGGGCTCTCTTTCAAAAGAGTGTCATGGTCGGCTGAACTTGAAATGTGAAACACATGGAAAACCTTGTTGATTACTTTTCCATAAAGTTGTTGCTGTAATGAGTAATGTTACGCTGTCGCCTTTTCACTCATTTTAAAAAATAAGCCAAAGGCCTCCATTAAATAATCTATAGTTATAGAGAAAAGAACCTTCCAAAGTTAGGCTTTTAGATGAGAAGTGGTCGAAAAAGTGGTCCAATCTGAAAGGTTTTCAATACTAGTCGTGCTGGGGCCAAAAAAGGTCCCTTAAAATTGTTGCCTGTAGAGCGCAAGCAAATAAACAAGGCGAACAGACGGACAAACAAGCTTAGATTGATTCAAAAAGTGATTCTAAATAAAGGTGGATCTATCCCAAGTTCCTCTGGATGTTGCACGCATATGCCTAAACTTAATATACACAGCTATTTGTCTACGATATAAAGAATAAAAAGATGTTTTAATATTTCTCTTCCTACAACTGAAACTAAAAATTCTATAAATAAACAAAAGATTTGTTTCAGTTTTTTTTCTTTGAGCCCCGCTGCCGCTTGTGAACAACAACAAAAAAAAAAAAACATTTTCTAAAAATATCCCTTAAAATTTAGTTAACCTCGTGAAATTTCTTCGAAACAATGATTTTTAGAAGCACACATGTCGAACTGAGTGCTTTTTTAAGTAGAGTGCGATCTAGAGCATAAGTGCTTAGTAAAAAACACCTTGTTATTCCAAAAATTGAAGCTTTTCGACCTAGCATGACCTTAGAAAGTCTTCTTCTTCTTTTGGTACAATCGCTGCTGGGCTTTATTATCATCTGAAGGGTGCAATCAAAATTAGGCTTTGTAAAGAGAAAAACAAAATAATACGCCCTTCCGATGGGTACATCTTTTATATAGAAACGTGGATTCAGTGAGTTAATTATGTTTATTGCCTGCAAGTTTTAAGAAACTGCCCCAACGGCTTACTGGCGAATATGTTCAACAATTCTAATTGAACCTGTGGCTGTGAGCACAATTTTGCAAATTTCTAAACTGATTTTAAAAGCTTTATATATTGATAAACTTATTTGTTAAATGTATATAAGTAAACACAAGAATAAATATATGAGCAGATCTAAAAATATATCTCAAGACGTACACATACATATTATAAATGCTTCCTTAAAATGTTTATATATGTATATGTAGATAAATATATTTTTGCACATGCTTACACATTTGCACATGTACATGTACGTTTATACATTGATAATATAATACATATAAAATTTTCATATATTTTTCATATATATTTCTGCACAATTAATATTATAATTAATGAATTATATAAGCATCGCCGTAACAAGCGTTGCTTAAAATTGATGAAACGTAGACGATCAATAAGTGCATTGATATAACAAAATATAATAAGTAGGTGTATGATTATCAATACATCCGCGTATGCAAGTGCATTAGACTGGTTCGAGAGAACTCATTACGATTGTAT